GGAACGAGGGAAATCGAAGTGTTTTAGTTCAACTATTATTACGGAGGACTGAGGCTGTCAGCTGATCCACCCATGGTTCATTTCGTGGCTATCTGTTTAATGTCATCTCGAGTCCTCGAGGTTCGAGAACTGGAAAATCAAGATCGACTCCGTGAACTCCCCCGGTGAGATCGGCCGCGGCAATTTTGCAATGTATTGCCCTTGTGGAGGCTGAGTCGTGACGAGTGTCTCTCAAGCACAGGAAGTCACAGACTTACAGGTGAATGTTCTGCGTGTGCATACCCTACTTGATCATGCTTTCTAGAACAAGTGGTACTCCGTACCTTGCATATATTTGCAGCCAATACAGAGTAGTTCCATGGAGGACTATGAAAGCTGATCACTATCTGCAACCTGCAAATGCTCGAAGATTACCACAATCCGGCAATACTGGTCTACTAAATTACGTTCTCGACTGCTCCCCTTATCCGACCCCTATCCTCGCACTCATGGTCCGTGTCCAACTCAACCCCCGAATAGTGATCATCACCGAGCGAAATGAGTCTCAAATCGTCTAATTTCCACAAAGTGGAACAATGATTTGTGCCTGATAATTTACCTGAAGATCATGACGATGAGGATTATTATTATTAGATTCCGATGATCCGATACCACTGTCTTGGTACAAGCTGACTATCCTGAGACGAACTAGCCGTGAACCTCTTCAGTCTCCTCTATCATCCGTGGTGAAATTTGTGCAGATTTTCGGATCCAGGCCGTTATTATCACCCCTAGACGGACATTACGACTAGTACTGTGAAGTACTCCGTACCAACTCCGCGTACTTTCCCACAGAGAACAAACATAACAACTATCACGATCCAAAAAGGCACGCTGCTTCGCTTTCTTTTCATTTCCACCAACCAATTGGATGGGTTCAGAGCACTCTGCTTTACGGCGTGCAGCTGCATACCCCTGGCAGGGAAAGACAGCAAACGAAAGGTCAGTTTGCGTCCATAAACTGCCCGCTTGGCTGCCACAGCCCCCCTCCAGTGTCTCCACAGGTCAGAAATGGCTTACGGGCAGCGGCTAAACAGCCCGCTAACGTCGGGCTTTTCACCGCCAGCGGAGCAACGAGATTCCATATAAATGATATTGCCCACTTAGTGCTGCTCGTGCCTTGCATGCTTTACTTATTCCGATGGGTTTTCCGTGTTTCAGGTTGTGGTTCATCGTTTTCCAGTCGTTGTGCTTTCTGTCGCTCTTTTAGAGACACTCGTTTGAGTGCTGCTTCTCGGTCTCTCCAGTTCAAACGCTCTTTGCACCTTCAATTCTTCCAACTTACTTTCGCTCCACCGGTCTGGCTTGACTCCTTATTCCAACTGTTGGCGAGAATCTTTTCGTCGTCACAAATACGCTCTTTTCGTCGTCTTGCACATTGAACTGGACTTATATTCTGCATTGGGTTTTGGTTGTATCGAAGCATTCCTTATTGCATAACAGCGCTATAGACCACAACAAACAACAGCAACAACAACAACAATACAACAGCAGCATACCTACATACCTCTCCAGCTTCACCAATTGTCTCCCATCGGACCGACAAAGTAACCCAGTCAAACCCGATCAGCAGTATCGTGTACTACCAAATTTTCCATTCTTTTCGATCTCGACTTTGCCTCGGTCAACCACATTGTCGGCTTAATTACCTTCTGTTCTCCACACTCATTTCGCTATCGTTACTTTTGACTAATTCATTAATATTTTGCTGGTGTTTGCCTGATAATATGAAATAATCAACCCAATCAACATGCGCTCAACTGGACCCTCAACAAATCCTTCTCCTCGACGGAGAGCTCTCCATGAGCGCAGTGCATCTCAAACGAACGAGACGTCTCCGGCGCCCTCCTTGCGGATCGTCAGCGACAAAGACCACGAACAGGAAGCGCACGATGTTTACTCAGCCACTCCGTTTCCAACCAAACCGGAGCACATCCTGTTACCACGACCTGGCAAAGGACAAGAATATGTTCATTACCCGGAGTTTCACGCCGGCGAGGCGCCTGATCAGTCAACTGCTACGTTGTCATCTAACGCCAGCCGAGCCGCCGATGATAGTTTGCTCGAGCAGTCTGTCGGTGATCCGTGGGATATATCGTCCACGATTGATCCCGGAAACACCCCGTCACAGGTGTGGGAAGATGACCCTAAATCCAGCAATTCTTCTCTTCCTGAGCCAATTCTTCCGGGAGAGAAATCGGCCTATAATAGGTCCGTTGGGGATTCAGATGCAGGGTATTCTGACGAGGACATGATGGTGATCCCTACAGCAGCTCCCAGCATTAAACCCGTCGTGTCAGAAACTCCAGGACCGTCTCGCCAACCGTCAGGTGCTCAGCATGCCTCATCGAGCGGATCGAGCCCCAACGTTGTGACCATTGGACCACCGTCAAGTCCCAGCTTTGTTGCCCTCGACAACTCCAGCTTGAACTTTGTACGGATTGGTGCTTCCTCAAACCCGGATTCTGCCACACGTTCTAACTCGCTGACATCCTTGAACTCTATGGGGACTGTGATCAGACATATTGGCGCCGCTCCGTGGACTCACGGATCTTCCGAGGAGCACAGTTCTCGTTCACAATCTTTCCGTTCTACTCCTCCATACCATCCATCAGTGCGATCAAACTCCAACTCCACCCGAGCTCGCGGCCGCAGCCATTCTCGCTCCCTTACCTCATCGTCTCGCAGCGGGCCACCTTCGGTCATCCAGGCTATTGTGGATAGTGGCGTGTTTATCCAATATCCCACAATCCTAGCTCCCTCATCATCAGGTTCATGGGTGGATACTTCGCAATCTACCAGCTCGTCCGATCGCAATCTCCAAGAACTCACCCCTGACCAATCATCTGACCGCTTCAAGTCCCATTTGTCAACCGTCACGTCTAGGTGGTCCGCCGAGCTGGACTCCAGCTTTGCTTCTGGAGCCGATGAGCCTAGCGAAATTTCGGCTGCAGAGCCGTCCAGGCCCTCGGCTGCACTCGTCCGCCCGAGACCGGGGTCGTCCTCGTTGTGGTTGGTAAGCGATTCAGATAGAGATGAGCGTCTGGATCATCTGTCAAATCTACCAGCTCGTCCCACCAATCCAGCTGTTCCAAGCAGTCTTTCTTCGGAGTCGAGGAAAAGTAGCTTGCGCAGCAACAGTAATAAGCGACCGGGGACTAGCTCAAGCTTTGTCTACAACATGCTCCCGACTTGGGCCAAGATGTACTATGGTCTGGATGGACAGACCGTGAACTCTGCGCTGTCGGTGATTGATGGAAGCCGCCCGCCCACTGCCCGCCCTGCTACGTCCAACTCACAAGCTCTACGGTATATTCCAACAGCTTCAGGCCGATCGAGAGCTCCAACCAATGAAACAACGGGGAGCGTGCGTTGGATGGCCCCGCCTGATCCCCGCGATCCTCGAAGTCATTGGGTCAAAGGCCCAGAGACCGACGAGCTATCGGACACCGCTAACGGCCGCCTACGACACAGTTGGTCGCCGCACTTGTATCCCGACAAGCGGGCTGTTGGGCAAAAAGGCAAGAAATGGACCGCGCCTTCGATGGATTCTCGGACAGAGCCCTTACTGGGACGAAGGAACATGCAAGTGTGGTCCTTTTGCCTGGGGTTCGTTTTTCCACTTGGTAAGTTCACTTGTTGCCCTGAACCTCCATCCTGCAAAATGCTCACAACGCTGCGCTTTAGCCTGGTTCATCGCCGCATTTCTCCCATTGCCGGAGAAGCCGGATGCAGTGCTGGACGAGAACGGACCCGAACTGGAGATGGCCCTCAAGATGCGACTTCATGAGCTTGGGCGAAGGCGTTACGAGAATGCTCGATGGTGGAGGAATCTCAATCGATGGATGACCCCTTTAGGGTTGGTGATTATCGCCATTGTTGTAAGTCTATGAAGCAGGATATCTCTTTCTGACCCGCGACTAACTAGCCTCCAGATAGCGCTGGCTGTCGTCGGCAGTACAGTGGGCTTCTAAAATGCAACATCTCGATGCGCTTCAAATTCGGCCTGTCCTGTATCCCCTCACCCTGGCGGTCGACTTATCATTTCCCCAGGCTACGCCTGATATCCTGCACCTTGTCGATTGGATCGATGACCATTTCATAATTCGGTACTCAGGAGTTGATTCTCTCCATTCCGCCACACCCTTTTGACCTTCATCTTCCGCTTCCGGTACTGGTTGCTTGGTTCGCCTTCATCCGAAGCCAAAAAAACTCAACTTGATACGACTGTACGACAACGTCACGATGCATATAATGTTTTGTTTAGACCTCTTGCATTTTACTTTTTTTTCTGATCCTGCCTAATTTACCGCTCGGTTAACGGTGTGTTTCAATGCGCCCACTGCGAATTAGTGGGCCAGGGTTTTGGCGCACCTGGCGATGGAATAATTAGGATTTACGAACCGGTTACGGATATATGCCATTTCTTTGGACCTACATATTATTGCATCTTGTATTTTCGCGATTCATGTATTGTACTCGTGTACATAGCGTTGCATCCTGGAGCATGACCTAGATTTATCTTTTAGGATCATGACCAATGGAATCACTTCAGACGAACTTCGGCTCGAGCAGTATGAGGATCAAATCTGTAGCAACATGATCTGGCTTGCACGCATAATGATAAGAGTTTCAAATCAGTGGAATAAGTCTTATGAACTCCGGCAGGCTATACAATATCCAACCCTCTCTCGCACTGCTCATACGAATAGAACCCCGTCACATATAACCAGGAAGTGAGGAGACGCAAATTGAACGCACGGCAACAAGCAAAAAAGGTCGCTGCTGAGATAACAAACGTAAGTCTAGTACAACAAGATCCACAAGTGAGTCTAATCGTTTTGCCGTCCAAGACGACATTTAAACCGAAAGGTGATTCGCGGCATGACATCGAGCCAGGGATCTCGAGTTGAGAGGTCCCGCCCGCCGTGCCGCATACTTCTAACCACAGCGAGGAGTCATCAGGAGATCTTCCGACCAAGCTTGTCTTCCACGGCGGCCTTCAGTTCCTCGCCGGTCGGCATCCCGACCACACTGCCGTGTCTTCTTCGCGCCTCAATCTCGGCCTTGATTTCCTGGACCGCGTCATCGAATTCCCGAGCTGGGTCGTTCGGCAGACCGAGGGTCGGCTGCTGGATACTTTCCATGCTGACAGTACGCGGGATGTGGGGCTTGTTGCGCTTCTTCAAGGATCTGACGAGATATCCCTTTGCGGGGCTCGCGAAGAAGATGATGGATAGGATGTTTCCGACAATGCCGTAGAAATACACACTCTGCCAGACCTGGATGGACGAGCTGAACGACAGGAAGATGAACGGCATCACGACGAAGGTCATGGTGAGCTGCGTAATGAGCCAACTGAAGATATCATAATAGCGTTTGGTAGGCAGAGGTTTAGCGCCATCAGGAGTCAAGAAGAACGGACGGACATAACGGCGCAAGTCTGCAATGAGATGAGCGGAAACCTCCAGAAAATGAGGGAAAAGCACCGGCTGGATACTTACTTTTGGCTCCTGTTTGGACAAAAGACCCCAGGATAAATGTCAGGTAGTAGCCAGGGTAGAATCCGTGCCAAAATGCGCTGGTTGTGAAGGTGGCCAGGCTGGCTCGGAAACCGGGCTTCTTTCCCTTGGGTGTCACACGCAGGTAAACATAGTTGCGAAGCCAGTGGTTCGTGTTCTTGTTCCAGCTCCCCAAGTATCCATATGAGTTTTGGGCCGTCTCCAGGCTCCAGGGGTCAATGTTCTCCAAGCGGTTCCAGAAGACCTTGCCTGTCTTAGGGTCAAAGCCATTGTATCCGAGTCCAGATAGAATGCAGGCACCTTCGGTGAGAGACCATACCCCGTAATATTTCGTTCGTGTGGTGAATCCGAGCATATGAAGAATCCAAACTCGTCGAAGGAAAGAATAGCTCATGAAGGATTCTCCAAGCACCGTCTCCTTATTGTAGAGAGAGCCCAATTGCAAGAATACAAAGATCCATCCCAGGCCCATCAAAGCCTTCTTGGTGGCAGGCGTACCGCTGCGGGGAATCTTGCGCTTCTTCCGGGTTGGAGGCGCCTTGGACGGATCAGTTCCTGGAGGCACCTCGAAAAGCGTCGTATCAAGCCACCGACGATAGTCCACATATTCGAAAGACGGACCCCCAAATAAGGATGGAAAGAACAAGACATATCCCGCGTAGTCTAGGATGCTGGGGAATTGTGCAATAGCAGCGTACTTTTGCGGGTCTGACAGCTTGTCTTGCGTTAAACGGCCATCGTGAATGTTCCAGCAGAAGGAGGAAAGTTTCATGACGAGCACCATCTGTGCGCCGGTGATATCAATCGCTTGGGGATCGTCAATCATCTGCCGATAAATGTGGCTGATAGACATATGGCCCATCAGAAAGATAAAGCCGATCCATGGCATCAGTGAGCCGTCTATGTAGTATGCGATGGCGTAAGTGCCAGCAGCGCTGTAGAGCAAAGTGCGCAGACCATCCCACAGATCGAATAAACCGACCATATAGAACAAGGAAACGGCAATAATGAAGACATTTTTCTTCCAGGGCTGAGCGTCGGGGATTCTCTTAAGCAGACCGGCCAAAGGGTAGGAGACCAGGAATGATGCAATAAGTTTGACTGTAGTTCCGAGGAAGAAAAACAATCATTAACAACAGCACTACCTTGAAAGAAGCTTAGGAGATAACTTACGCTCATCCACTGAAGCTCCTGTGAGCCTTGCAGGATAACCGAATACTATACATGATCGTCGTCATCAGTATCTGCTTTTTCTGAGGTAGTTTAGGTGCATTGTGAATTGTTGGGACCTGGCGGTGGGGAGCTCTTCAACATACTGGTATCGACGTAAGGTAACATTATTGGAGGCACACTTCATGAAAAGGACTTTAGAGGAAGCAAAAAGAAAGAAAAGGACGGAGATGATCCGTAACTAGGTGGAGGACCGATCTAGGGCGACATGGATGCGAAAAGGATATGTTCATCAGTTTATAGCTAGAAAAACAAGAGAGAAGCACATGGCATGAAATCATCGCAAGGGAGAGCTTCACATGGCTTGGCTTGACTCCATCAACCCCTTGTGGTCTGTCTCTGTCTTATGACGCATCCAACTCACTCTCTATTGCTACAATTTACCTCTCTATCAGAGGTACTTTCACTAATAATTGATTCAACTATTGGATTCTACCTTACTTGATCTACTAAGTTTCTATATCCAACATTTCATAAAACGCTTAAAACACACCCCCACCTCGCCAACGCGCCCTCTTGGGCTGCATCATCACCACAATCATGGACGTCGTTGCTGCAGTATCCGGGTACATCTCCAAGATGGTCACCATGGGAGATACAGCATCAGCTACAGGATCTTCATCGTCAACCAAGATGAAGATCTTGCTTCTCGATAGTGAGACAGTGGGATCTGCGTTCTGCTGCCAAGTGCAGTGAAAGCTCGATTTTGGAGGCTGACTCTTAGGATGCACAGATGCCCATTGTATCGACGGCTATCACACAATCAGCCCTTTTGAGTCATGAAGTATACCTGATTGATCGCTTGGACAATGCCGCCCGCGAAAAGATGCGACATCTGCGTTGTCTGTGCTTCGTGCGCCCGTCCCCGACTTCCATCCAATTCCTCATCGACGAGCTTCGTGAACCCAAGTACGGAGAATACCATATTTATCTGAGCAATATTATTCGCAAGTCTTCCTTGGAACGACTGGCGGAAGCAGATGGGCATGAAGTGGTGCGCGTGGTGCAGGAGCACTTTGCCGACTTCCTTGTCATCAACCCCGACCTGTGCTCCCTGAACCTCGGGTTTCCTAACCAGCGATTGTGGAGCCACTCGCCGGACCTGTGGAATGCAGACGCTTTGCAAAGAGCGACGGAAGGCCTGATTGCCCTGTTGCTGGCTCTCAAGAAAAACCCTCTGATCCGCTACGAGAAGAACAGCTTGCTGGCTAAGAAATTAGCTACAGAGGTCCGCTACCAGGTGACTCAGGAGGAGCAGTTGTTCAATTTCAGGAAGACCGACACGCCTCCTATTCTGCTTATTCTGGACCGGAGAGACGACCCCATCACGCCTTTGTTGACGCAGTGGACATACCAGGCGATGGTTCACGAGTTACTGGGAATCACCAACGGAAGAGTAGACCTGCGCGATGTGCCTGACATTCGACCCGAGCTTCGGGAAATCGTCCTTTCGCAGGATCAAGATCCTTTCTTTAAGAAGAACATGTATCAGAATTTTGGCGACCTGGGTCAGAACATCAAGGAGTATGTCGAGCAGTATCAGACAAAGACTCAGAACACCATGAACATCGAGTCCATTGCAGACATGAAGCGCTTCGTGGAAGATTACCCTGAGTTTCGCAAACTCTCCGGTAATGTGAGCAAGCACGTCACGCTGGTCGGCGAGCTCAGCCGACGAGTTGGGGAGCATAACCTGCTGGACGTCAGTGAGTTGGAGCAGAGTTTGGCCTGCAATGACAATCACGCCAATGACCTCAAGGTATGTCACGACGTCTTGTCAAACTTAGCACAGTCAATACTCATTGGATCGCTTTTGTAGACACTACAGCGAATCATTCAGCTACCCACGGTACCAGCGGAGAACAAGATCCGCTTGGTAGCCCTATATGCCCTCCGATACGAAAAGCAGCCTTCGAATGCCCTTCCGGTTTTGCTTGACCTCTTGGTCACAGCAGGGGATGTTCCCTCCTACAAGGTCAACATCATACCGAAGCTTCTTGCCTATCATCATTCTCTCCAGGCGCCCCCTGTTGCGGGCGGCTTCTCGGATCTTTTCGAATCGGCTTCATTATTCTCGGGGGCTCGGGACCGCTTCAAGGGGCTCAAAGGTGTTGAGAATGTATACACACAACACTCACCGCGACTTGAAGTGACACTACAAAATCTCATCAAAGGCAGATTGAAAGAGTTACAGTACCCCTTCCTCGAAGGCAGTAGCCACATTCGGGAGAAGCCACAGGACATCATCGTCTTTATGGTCGGCGGTGTAACCTACGAAGAGGCCAAGATGGTGGCCCAAGTCAACGCCAGCTCACCAGGAGTGCGTGTGGTATTGGGAGGCACGACCATCCACAACAGTACCTCCTTCTTGGAAGAAGTTGACGATGCTGTGAGCGGGTGGCCTGAGCCTGGCCCTTCCACGGCCGCTGGACGGCTTCGAAGAGAGGTCGGACGATAGATGCCGATTGCATTGTCTCTGTCTTGCAGTACGTCATTGGGCGCTGGCGTATGGTCAATGGCGGCACTACTCTGTCAAAGTAAATAGTTCTTATATCCCTGACGATGCCATTAATTTAACAATTCATGAAAAGTTCGAGAGAGCATGAATAAGTAACAGTCGAATTCCTTTACTCGCGGAAATAACCTAACCGTTATGGTTGTGTAGACTGTGTAGATATGTCAACCCCGGATTTTCCTATTCGAGTTTCCACTGACCTCCGTCATCGCTGCTAGCACCCCACCCTGCAATTAGCACCTAGCAGCCATGTCGTGGACACACTCCCCTGGCTCCCATATCCCGGAGCAACAATATCACTCCTCGATGGATATTCATCCTTCACCACCCAAGCCCATCAATGCTTTGTCGTCGCCTTCTGCATCCGCCGCCCGAGAACCGAAACTCCAGCTCCCCTCTACAACCGATCCCCCAGGGCCGCAGAACCCGCCTAAGCAGCTCGTATGGCTGGTACGAGAAATGGACCCTATACGACTATTTTGTTATATTTGCATTGTACTGGACTAACAGATATGCTGGGCTGGTAGATCTTCGGCGCCACAGGCCACATGGGCCGTTCACTCGTCAAGACCGCCCTATGCCGCAATGACCTCGTCGCAGCGGTCGGACGCACATTCGAGAACAGCCCCGAATCAATGAAGAAGCTGGAAGAGGAACATGAGAATTGTCTGGGGCTGCTATGCGACGTTCGCGCGCGCGAAACGGTCAAGAGGGTCATCGACCGGACTATCGAGCGGTTCGGGCGCATCGACATTGTCGCCAATTGCGCCGGGTACGGCGTGATCGGCGCCTGCGAGGACCAGGACGAATACGAGATCCGCGACCAGTTCGAGACGAATTTCACCGGGACCCTGAACATGATCCAGCTGTCGCTGCCACATTTCCGCGAGCGCCGGTCCGGCCGGTATCTGATCTTCAGCTCGACGTCCGGCGCGCTGGGGGTGCCGGGGTTGGGGCCGTACTGTGCCTCGAAGTACGCGGTGGAGGGCCTGATGGAGAGCATGCTCTACGAGGTGGACAGTTTCAATATCAAGGGGACGCTCGTGGAGCCGGGCCATATGCGCCGCGACGATGTGGGGGACCTTGTTTCTCACACCGCTGCTATGGCCAGTAACGAGCACAACCTCGCGTCGCCGCTGCCGCTGTACGGCCACTTCTTTGTCAAGCAACCCAGCGAGCCGTATAATACGCCCACGGCACCCGCAGCGCATGCAAAGCGCATGCTGATGTGGCTGGGTGATAAGCAGCCAGCCAGTGCCGTCAAGGCGGCCCATCTAGTTTGGCAGCTGGGCCATTGCTCCTATCCTCCGCTGAGATTGATCCTGGGAACCTACGCGGTCGAGAGCATCCGCGACAGACTCAAGTGCATCATCGAGGAGATCGAGGATTGGAAGTATCTCAGCTTCCCTGTGGGCGATCAACCGGGCTCCTCTACTGGGAAAGACAAGCCATCAACGGAGAGCAGGGAAAAACAGGATGGAGAAATGGCCACCTGACGGAACTTGGCTTCTGTCCTTTGCGGCTATCGCATATTTCATGTGGGACGTGGATTCTTCCGCTGCGCCTTAGGCAAGGATAAGGCAAGACACAGATCCAACTCCATCGTGGGGAGTCTGAATCAGCGACTGTGAGTCCCTTCCAGCCATTGTAAGGCTTTTCAGTTCCCCTCCTCCCCTGATGGGCCCACTGGAGGATTTATTACGATCCCCTCGGTCTCTGCCAAGCACTTGGTCGCTTGAGAACATACGGGGTCCTCATATATACATGTGCATGTTGCATTCCGTCCATTGTAACGCGTGCGGGAGACTTCCCATCATGTTTGATCTCAGGAGAGTCTACGGTTAGCGCGGGAGACATAAAATACATGATATCTATATACATATATGTTCATTTCCAGAGTGCCGCATGTACAATGTGGACTCGATGTTTATAGAACAAAATAACATATGCATCGTTCATAGCATGGATTGTCGATACCCCCCATGCAATAAAGTAGCAACCACAAGATCATTATATTCAGGTCAGAGGCCAATCCATGGTAAAACCTCCGCGAGAACGCTCAAGCGGCTGGCGCGAGTCTTCAATCATACAATTCAAAATTGTGAAGTTGAGGAGTAATCATACACGTGTTCATGGCTGTCGTCAAACCTGGACGTCCCAGAGCGCAATCTGTACATTGAGAGGAGGGTCTCACAGTTAATCACAAGCATGCATGATACATGTCTCTCTCCCATGCCAGATCCGTCGTCTTCGAGTCACATCTAATCCAAATGAGTCTCTGATGACCTCATCATCGTGTAATGCGGGCGCACCGTCCGCTGAGTTCTGATCCTTTTCGAATCCAGGCGCCGATCTCAGGGTTCGCACTTCTTCAATACTCGCACCAACCTCATACTCTCCGTGGCAGAAGATGGTAACTCCAATGGTGACACTAGTGCTTTCTCCACCGGGCAAAATAGGCAGCACTTGCTGCAGCATGCCGGTCCAGGCCAGCCTCCGCGAAAGATCAAGGGCAACGTTACTAGGCTGGTGGCGAAGACTGGGTTGCAGCCGGAGAATTGGTTGGATTGGCTTCGAGGAGCGGTTCCGGACG